GTCTCTGCGGGTTCCGGGGGTGTCAGGGGGGGGGGGGGAAGAGACGGGGGAGGGGAGAGGAACCACACCAAGATTTTGGCAAGTTGTCACTTTTTCTATGGAGGAGCTGTGGGGTCTAGGACAGGTTGGTTGTAGAAAGGAGCTTGGGTGTAGGAGAGGGTGAATGGTGTGAGGGAGTTGTGACCTGGGACAGGGGATTGGGGTGCAGGGTCTGATAGGGGGTATGAGTGCAGGAAAGGATTCTGACCTGACGGAGGGTATGTCTACACTTGCCCCCCTAGTTCAAACTAGGGAGGCAAATGAAGCATACCGAAGTTGCTAATGAAGCGCTGGATTTAAATATCCCATGCTTGATTAGCATATTCGCGGCCGGTCGCCCGAATTAACTCGCTGCGTGTAGACGCAGTAGTCCGATCCAAAACCCTTCCCTCGAATTAACCTTACTCCTCATTGCATGAGGAGTATGGTAAGAGCTACTATGTGTTTGGGTGTTATGTGGTTAGTTTTTTGAAAATAAATTGCTTTTTCTTTGTCAATTGTTTATAGGTCTCTGTGTTCTCTGTCCAAATAGTAATAATTCCCTTCTTGCATTCCCTGGAACGCATACCGGGCATGTGCAGATAGTGGATCTGGCTAATACAGAAAAGCCTCCTGTAGATATACCAGCTCATGAAGGAATCTTGAGCTGTATAGCTTTAAACCTGCAGGGAACAAGAATTGCAACAGCATCAGAAAAAGTAAGCAAATAATCCAATGTTCTATCATCTGTGGCTATATTTAATGAGTATACTGTATGGTCCTAGTATTAGCGGCACAAAGGCTTGTTACACTGTAACTACTGGAAAACTATCTTAAGGAACCTAGTTCCAGAAACTTAACACTTAAACACCCCTAATTTTTCCCATTGATCTTTACTGCTAACTAAGCAAAACTGGATACTTCCCTAGAGGTCTGGCAGCTCTCTGGCTACCCTGAACTGGGGCATTACTTCATCCAGTAAACCCAGTGGATGTACTCAAATTAAGTCCCGTTATCTTGAACCAAGAACAGGCTTTTACTATACTGGCTTCTTTCTTTACTTCCAAGGAATTCATGGGTTTACTGAGCCTAAAGCTACAGAAAATTGTCATCCTCCACTATCCCTACCTATCTTGTACATGGACATACACACCTGTAGCTGGTCGAACTATTTAACTTAAGCTTCAGGGGGTAACTGAGTTAGTCTGTACAGGATAAACTTAAAACACAACAAATGGTCTGGTAGCTTGGTCATCTGAAGAAGTGGGCTGTGCCCCCGAAAGCTCATGATACCATCCACATGGTTTGTTGTTCTACAAAGTGCTACCAGACCATCTGTTGTTTAAGTTTATTTAACTTAAGTTCACTTCTGGAAAGCAGGCTGCTCTATTATCCAGTCTTTGTTGGCTTCGGTTGAACTTCATTTTTACCTTCAGATTGAGGAACACATTGAAATGTTGGTGAATGCATAAAGCTTGAAAACCATGATTAGAAACCATTTTCCAGCTCTTCCTAACTCTTTGGAGTGGCATAATTGAAATGCTACTACCATACGGCTATTAGTGGATTTTCATTGGCATGGACTCTGCTCTTGAGGACAGTTACCATTTCAATGTCAAGCCCTTCTAACTTCTAGGACTGGAGGACTATAAACCTGTTTGTCTATCCTGCTTTAATATTGGTATCACAATCAGAATAACTTTACTAGTTAACAGCTGATCACTTTCTTTACATAACTTTTCTGTGCAGTTTTCCAAAGCACCTGTGACATGGAATAGTTTCCACTCAAAGTCAATTGGACTTTTACTCCTGAATCAATGAAGCTTCAAAAGCTTTCTAAAGTCAGCCAGTATGAGAGGAAAGTGGAGGCAGATTTCAACTGGACTCCTTTTCATGTGCTAATGCCAAGGAATGTCTGTTTCACCAGATGCTAGTGTATAGCTCTAACTTTGCAGGGGCAACATTTTCAAAAATAGAAGCTTAAAGTTGGGACCCTAGCTCTAAGTGAGGCATGTAAGGCAGCTTGCTTGGATCCAGCCCCGAGGTTCATGGCTCCCCTCCTAGCATTGGGGAGCCCATGCCTACTGAGGGACTGGAGCACACACAATCTACTAGCCTGGGCCCGACTAGGCTCTGGTGTTCGAGGGGAATGTGGGGAGTGTCTTTCTCCTTCTTGGCCAGGGACCACATCGGTGAGCGTTTTGGTTTTTTGCTTCTCACTTGCATGCAGCCCCCAACTGATTTGATTTTTATTTTTTTTTCCTCCCTGTGGGTCAGTGGGCCTTGACCCCAAAAAAGGTTCCCAGCCCTGATCTAAGGGATGAGATTTTCAAAAAATGTTGATTTCCATGTTCCAGACTTGCTTAGGAACTCAAATCTCTCTCTTATAGGCTGCTAAATACAGACCTAGGATCCTACCCATACGTTTCTCTTCTTGAATACATTGGTTGCACATTTTCTGTCATATCTCTGCTCATTTGTGGATGGGGCTGCTCTTTATATTTGCCATTTTGAAGAGCAGAGTGGAAAAAAATCAAGACAGAGCACCTGGTAAGAGGCCTCATGTATAGGGTTTAAGTGAAATAGGGTTTGAGAGCTTGTCTCTTTAGAATCTTGGCTATATTCATGTATGTTCCAGTAGCACCAAATGCTAAAAACTGGCAGAGCCTTTCCTAAATTAATATTAAATTAAAAAAAAATGATTAAATCCAATCTCATCTGATTTCCTTCAGACCATTTCTTCAGTTTTGTCCAGATCAGTGGTGGACAACCTGTGGCCTAGGGCTGCATGTGGCCCATCGGGATTCCATGTGCAGCCTGTGTACCCTCTCTCAGCCCACTTCCCCCACATCTCTCATGCTCTGAGGGCCCCCACACTTGCCGCCTCCTTCTCCCAGCACTTCTGAATGCCCATCAGCTGATTTGTGCCCCATTTCCCCCCCCCCAGCTTGAACGCCATGAATCATCTGATTTATGGTTCTCTGGAAGTACTGGGAGGGGTGGGGAGGAGCTGGGATGGGATGTGCATAGGAGAGAAGGCAAAGAAGAGGCCGGGCAGGGATTTGATATATTAAAGTAAGTGCAAATGTTTGTGTGGTGGTTGAAATTGATAGTTCTAGTAATATAAAATGATCAAAACATTTCTACTTGTGTTAAATAAATGGAATGCTGAATATTTCAGTCTTATTCTTGGAGCCACGGTTAGTGCACATGACTGAATCTTGTGGCCCACTGAGGCAGAGGGCCACTTATGAGCCTTGGTTGCCCATCGCTGGTCCAGCTCATTTTGAATTTTAATCCTAACCTCCAAAGCACTTACAGCCCATCGCAGCTTGGTGCTGTCCACAGCTTTAAATGTACTCTCTGCCATTATCTAAATCACTGATGACTGTCTTGAACATAGTCAGATCAACAACTGATGCCAGCAGACCCCACACAACAGGCCCTTCCAGAATGACGGTGAACCATTGATAACTACTCTCTGGGAATGGTTATCCAATCAGATATGCACCCCACCTAATAGTAACTTTGTCTGGGTTGTGTTTCCCTAGTTTGTTTTTTGAGAAGGTCATATGAGACACTATCAAAAACTTTACTAAATTCAAGATGCCAGTTCCCATCCTATTTGCCAGGCTTATTTTCCTGTCGAAGCTATTAGGTTGGTTTGGTGTTCTGGGGGAGTGCAGTTTGTCTTATTGGGTGTCTTGGTTCACTGAAATAAGATAATGCTTTGCAATGGGGATCGCCTGATGCTAGGTGGTGAGAGAAACATGTAGGTTAGACTTCAGTACTTAGGGAATCCCTCCAGAAGATTCTAACAAAGTAACTTAGTGGGTTATCCTGCTTTATGCTGTCCCATCTTGGTTTAACGAAGAATTATCCAGAATAGTGACGAGGATGAATTCTGAATATGAAAAATTGACGCTTTAGCATATTTGCACTGGTTACTGGAAACATGTTTCCATAAACCATCATGAATGTTTCAGTGTTTCAGCTGGCCATTTGTACACTGCTAAATAGTTTTGCTGACATTGAGCAAACCAGGCATCGTGCTGGTAAAATAAAACCAGAGGTGTGACAGACCCCAGTGCTTTCGAATCTTAAGCATAATCTTAGTAAGGAATCCTCCTAGTTCATAATGGGATTAAAGTAATCTGCACTCAAGTCAGCTAGGATTTGATACTCTTACCAGGGTATTGTTAGTGTGTTAGGAATCACATGTGATGTGCTTTCAATGCTTTACAATACAGGATAAAGTTTTCTTCCATCTTTACTAATAAAAATGTTTCATTACTTTTTCCAGGGGACCCTCATAAGAATATTTGATACTTCATCAGGACATTTAATTCAGGAGTTGCGAAGAGGTTCTCAAGCAGCTAATATCTACTGGTGAGCTTATTTCTCCAAGTAATATGCTTTATCCATCTTTTGATGGGTCTTTGTGCTGAGCCAAAAATCTTCCCTTTGGTTATTTGTGGCAAAGGCACAAGGTCCCTTTTTAAAATTCAGGCTGTGTGCACAAGCCTAATTAGGGTTTGAAATGCTAAGTGTTTGTTTGTTCTGCCTGACTAATTCTGGGTTAAATGCAATACATATACACCTTAACAATCAAGCTACTACCATGTATGAAAGCTAAATAAAAATCTGTTGCAATTATTTCTCTACAGCATTAACTTCAATCAGGATGCTTCTCTAATTTGTGTATCAAGTGACCATGGCACAGTACATATTTTTGCTGCAGAAGACCCCAAAAGGAACAAGCAGTCTAGGTAGGCCTTCATCTATTTTCTAAGCCTACTGGTCTGAGATTGTTTTGGGGTTTTAATGGTTGGCATTAAACACATGCTAGTAACATTCTCCTGTCTCCAAAATGAAGCTGCTTTTTTCCATAGTAGCAATTAACGAGACAAACTTAGTTCACTGACACTGAAGAGTAAACACTGATATATTTGATTGAAAAAAGTAAGAGGCAAACCCTGTACCTCTGTGTTCTGCTGCCTCCTAACATACAATTGTCTCAAGATCTATCAGAGAGGACCACAAGCTGAATATGAGTCAGCAGTGTGATGCTGTTGCAAAGAAAGCAAACATGATTCTGGGATGCATTAACAGGTGTGTTGTGAGCAAGACCCGAGAAGTCATTCTTCCGCTCTACTCTGCTCTGGTTAGGCCTCAGTTGGAGTATTGTGGCCAGTTCTGGGCTCCACATTTCAAGAAAGATGTGGAGTAATTGGAGAGGGTCCAGAGAAGAGCAACAAGAATGATTAAAGGTCTAGAGAACATGACCTGTGAGGGAAGACTGAAGGAATTGGGTTTGTTTATTTTAAGAAAAAAAAGAAGATTGAGGGGGGACATGATAGCAGTTTTCAGATATCTAAAAGGGTGTCATAAGGAGGAGGGAGAAAACTTGTTCATCTTGGCCTCTGAGGATAAGACAAGAAGCAAGGGGCTTAAACTGCAGCAAGGGAGGTTTAGGTTGGATATTAGGAAAAAGTTCCTAACTGTCAGGGTAGTCAGACACTGGAATAAATTGCCCAGGGCGATTGTGGAATCTCCATCTCTTCTAAAGTGGGTTGTGCCCACAAACCCATACTACATTTGTTAGTCTCTAAGGTGCAATGTCTATCAGGGATGGTCCAGACAGTATTTGGTCCTGCCATGAGGGCAGGGGACTGGACTCTCGAGGTCCCTTCCAGTCCTGGTATTCTATGATCATCTCCTCTAAAGTGGGTTGTGCCCACAAACCCATACTACATTTGTTAGTCTCTAAGGTGCCACAGGACTACTTATTGTTTTAAACAATGGTGCCAGTCCTTTCCAGATAAAATCCTAGTGTACTAGTGAAGTCCCTAGTAGACCTCATTGTGTTTCTGGCATTCCATTTTTTTAGACCGACTGTGACGTAGTCCTAAGGTGCCACAGGACTACTTATTGTTTTAAACAATGGTGCCAGTCCTTTCCAGATGACAGGGATGTGTCATTATGCAAAGGGATCTCTCAACCGGTCTGACCAGCTAACCCCCATGGAGAGGAACAAAGGAAGGTGAATGCTGCCCTGGCTGGGGGGCAGGGCTGGAGGAGAGTTAGTTTAGTTTCTGTCTGGGAGGATGGAGGAAGCAGCCTCAGCAACAGGTTGGGGGGTTTAGGAGCTGAGCCCCCCCCCATATCCAGGGGGGCTGAGGCATCCTAGGCCTGCCCTGTAACCTGATGACATCTGTGCTGTGCTGTATGCTGGAGAAGCAATAAACCACCTCTATTCTACTGGCTGGTGGAGTCTGTTTGTGCCATTCCGGGGGTGCAGGAGGCGGGGGAACCCCAACGTGTCGTCACACCGACTCTGCTGTGGTACAGGTCTGTCTTTGGCTCTGTACCATAACAATCAAGGAGGTGGCACCTGAGTCTTTGTGGTGGCTCTTATGTACATCTCTTCTCTTCTCTTCTTTTCTTTTTTTTTTCTTTCAGTTTGGCCTCAGCCAGCTTCCTCCCCAAATACTTCAGTTCCAAATGGAGCTTTTCCAAATTTCAGGTTCCCTCGGGCTCTCCATGCATTTGTGCCTTTGGAACAGAGCCAAATGCTGTCATAGGTAAGTCATCTGAACTTCCCCAAGGGTTCTGTTTCAAAAAGCAAGCTCTGGCATACTCTTCCCCGAGTGACCAGTTTTTTTTTAGATCTGATTATTTTTAATACTGTAAAGAATAAGACAAGACACTGTGGCTTGTGTCCGAGGGAGGGATCACAGTGACCATGACCACAGACCATGCAGCCTGGAAAAGTGAACAAGCAAATCTTTATGCTGGACCAGGCCTGCAGCATCCCATTGGATCTGTGCTGATGAGAAGTAGGGCGTATGACCGATATTGTGGCCATTGAGGGAAACTACATGTCTCCTTGCCATGATTAAGATGTTTATGCTAAACAGCAAAGTAACTTTGCCCAGACTTGTCCCCTAGAGGTCTGAGAACAGTGAGCTTCTGAAAAGGTGCTCACTGAGTAATGTGGTGATGTGCTATTTGATCTGTAACACTTACCCAATATGTCTCTTTGTTTCAGCAATATGTGCAGATGGTAGCTACTACAAATTCTTATTCAACCAAAAAGGGGAATGTTCAAGGGATGTCTATGCTCAGTTTCTAGAAATGACTGATGACAAGCTTTGACTAAACTGAGGAAGAAAAAGTTTGGGTCAAAGTACTACCTTGGTTCTGCTTCTTTAGGAGGAGTGGGTAGGTATGTCCAATACTGATCAAGATGTATAACAGACCTCATTGAGAAGCCTGGACCCTCCCTGAGCCAAACAGGCAGAAGTCCTCTACATCACAGCTTATGTTAAACTCATATGCTATTTCTTCAATGTTAGTGGGGGGTTGGGTGGGGGAGGGGAGGAAACCCCTGTGGGTTTGTCAACTCTTCAGTTTTCAAGAAATGGCTTTCAATAGCTTGTGCCTACAGGGTCTCCTTTAAACTGTGAAAAGTAGAGTGCAGATGTGCCTACAGGGTCTCCTTTAAACTGTGAAATGTAGAGTGCAGATGATGAGTGCCTACTATGTATTTGAGGCATTTTCTACAAACTTCAGGAAAGACTGTACATTTATTTGGCATATTGCATCACTTCCACTGAACCTCTCTGTGGGGCAGGAAATGACTGTGGAAAGAGAAGGTAACTAGAATTGTTCTACCAGCAGCTTGCCTTGAACAGGTGGCATTTATTTCCCTCTTATGTAGAAGGGAAGAGGAAGACACAGGTGGCTAGAATAACCCAATCTGAACTGCACTTGCCCTGTTCTAGAGTGTGGTGCAGTTGTCTCGTGGTCCTAGATTGTCATGCACACAGGGAGGTTCTTGGGTAAACTGAATTAACTACAAGCACTAATGTACCTTTCAGTAGTGCCAAACTCTATACATTAGATACAAAGGCACATCTTAGGTACTGGTGTTGTGACTAACCACTACTCAGCATATAAAGGAAATTGCAGAGGATGCTGTGGCAAATGAAGGTCATGTTTCAAGGGGAGGCTACTACTTCTGTAATGAAACATCCATTCCAGGAAAAATTTAAGTTGCATTGGATTGCTTCTAAAATGTAGACTCTGCTTCACAGTGGCTTTCCAGGTCACTTAGCCTACAGTCTAAAGCAGGTGCTGTGAAATACACCACCTCGTTATGACTCAATCTGCAAAGGGTTTTTGAAGCATCGGCTAGGTGCAGCTGGGTCGACCAATCAACTGACTTGCATCCATCATCTGTTCCCCCTTCTCCTCTTTGGGCAACTACATATATCACTAATTTTTGGAAATAAGGCACATACCATTTTTTAAAAAGGTGATAAATAGAACACTAGCACTAATTACATGATGCATATTCATACAATGCCTTAGCTTTAATGTCACAAATGCTTCAAAATTAAAGTCCAGTTCACTCTTTAGCTAATTTGCAGCTAAATCTCAAATTTAGCAAACTTTTCTTTAGCATCTAGTAATAGACTAAGGAGTAACTTTTTATGCAGATTTTGTGGTCAAGTTTGCATGTTGCTTTTATGTGTATGTAATCATTTGTTTTGCACACTATTTGTAATGTTTGTTTTAAATAAATGACTAATTTTGCTGTATTCATTTAAGGTACTCAGTGGATTAACTCTTTACACACACAATCACCTTTTCACAGATTTCAAAAGTATTACATTTCTTAGTTAGAATTGTTGCATGCTTCCCTATTAGACTGCCTTCTTTAAGGCCACAATTTTTTCCTCTGGAAGACACACAGTCCATCCTAAAGACTTGCTTCTCAAGAATAGTTGTTGTGCCCTTGCTTTAAAGTGAAGTATTCTTGAAGTGATTGTTCCTGTCCAGCCCGTAGGATGGGAATATCCCTGCCTCATGCACCAGTGCTGGAAGCTTTTTCCCCTTAGTCCTGGCCTGGCGCCCCCTGCACATGCTATGCAATATAGGGAATCACCTATCCCTCCCACCCTCAGTTCTTTCTTGCTAGCAGTGACCATACCTTCCAGATTCCACCCCTGCACTGGAGCAGTGTATACCCATCTCCCCCCACTGTGACCAAGTTTCCACTTTGTGTGAGATTCCTTCTTGGGTTCAAGCTCCCCAAGGCTTTCATGGTTAAGCCAAGCTGGGCACCTAAAATATTTGCTTTTCTTACAGCACATTGGGATCAAAGACTAAACTTTGCTGGACAGTGCATAAGCAGTACCTCTGGCACTGCTTAGCAAGGGTATGTCTACACTGCATTCCTCTTGAGAGAGGAATGCAGATGCAGCTGAGCGAAGTTGCAAATGAAACACAGATTTGAAATTTCCATGCTTCATTTGCATAATTGCATCAGGCTGCTTTTTCAAAATACCCTATTTCGAGATGAGAAAATGCTGTGTAGACAGTTACTTGGAGGAAAAAACCCTTCTTTTGAAATTAACTTACCCTCATTTTATGAGAGGGTTTTTTTCTCAAAATAACTGTCTACATAGCATTTCTCAAAATACCCTATTTCGAAAAAGTGGCTGGATGCAATTATGCAAATGAAGCATGGGAAATTCAAATCTGCACTTCATTTGCAATCTTGCTTGGCTGTAGCAGTAGAATGCAGTGTAGACAGATACCATTGACTATTCCAAGAGTGGGCAAGGTCCTATGTGAGGCTTCCCTATTGGCCTTAGCCTCCAGCTCAAATGGAACAAAATAGCCCAGCCCATTGTAGGCTAGGGAGGTTTTAGCTCAGGGGTGGGCGAAGAGGCCCCTGCAGGCTGCACTCAAGAGCTGGGGCCAGCAGAGCCAAGGCCCATAGCTGCTAGAGAAATAGCAGCTGTTTTAAAACAGCTGGTAACACTCTCTATTTCAGGGGTCTCCAACCTTTTTAAGCACAAGATCACTTTGTGAAGTTGTGTGATCCAGGATCACACCCCAAGCCCCTTGCCCTGCAGCCTGCCATGCCTGTTGTGAGGCCCCACCCCAGCTCACTCAAGCTCCCCCCATCCTGTTTGGCATGAGGGGGCAGCTGAAGTGCCAGCACTTGGTAGCTTCCTGACCAAACCAGTCAGGATCAGCTGTCAGCGGCTGGAGGAATTACCACTAGACCCCAAGCTACTTGTTGGTGACCACTGCTCTAATTGCTACACACCCGTGCCAGGGCAGGAGATTTCATGGTGTCCCGTCTCTCCCTTTCTTCCCCCCCCCAAATCAAGCCCTGATGGGCCGAGGGTCACACAAGAGGTCTCCCATTGCTGCACCTAGAGCAGGGGTGGGCAATAATTTTTGGAACATGGTCAAGGGCCACACACGTCTGTGGAGATATTGGTTCTAGGGTGAGTGCAGAAGCGTGCTTGGGATGAAGGAGAGGGCTGTGACCTGGGGCAGGGAGGGAGTATGGTTGCAGAAGAGGAGTCCAGCCTGGGGGAAGGGTGTAGGAGGTGGTATAGGGTCTGGGAGGGAGCTGTGACCTGGGGCAATGGGTTGTGCAGAGGGCTTGGCTGCTGACCTGGGTGAGGGACAGGAGTGGCCAGAGGCAAGCACTGAATGGAAGGTGCAGCACCACCCAGGCAGGCTGGGCTCCCTGTTTGCTGCAGCTCCAGATCACTTTAGACTGCAAGCTACTTCCGCCACATGGCACTCAGCTGCAGGAAGGGGAAAAGGCTGGTGCTACTCCCTTCCCCATCTCTCAGCTCCTATTGGCTGCTGTTGGGTGTTTCCAGCCAACAGTAGCTGAGAGATTGGCTGGGGTCAATTCCTATTGGCCAGTTGTTTCTAGGCAATAAGAACTGAGTATTGGGCCCGGGGTTCCTCACAAGAAGCCACCTCCTCCCTACAGAGAGCCACATGGACTGCACTTTTACTGCACTGCCTGAGCGTCCCAGCAGCAGGGTCCACAGGGTGACTGGTGGCTTGGCCCCACCCCTTCCACAGCAGCCCATGGCCAGTTCAGAAATGCACAAAATAGTTTTTAAAAGTGGGCCATCTCCTCCCCCCACCTTCATGCCAATTTCATGTCCATTCCAAAGACTACAAGGTACAGGAACAGGATTCAACCTACCCTTCCCTGGCTCTATGAAGGCTTATCTGCAGCTCCCTGTGGACACTACTGATTATGTAAAGTATGACCAGGAGCAGAGCTTCTGGGATAAGGGCCAAGGAGCTGGGGCTACAGGTGGTAGGATCTTAAATCCTTTGGGGGTAAGGTGCCAGCTATATGGTGCAGGTAAATGTCATTTTTCACCAGAGGCCATTCACAGGACAGTGAGGCAGAGATAGGTTGACCCTATCAAAGAAAGGGAACAACATAGTTGAATTCAAACTACCTTACCAAGCAAGGGGGGCAGGAGCCAAAAATCCCCCAGGTCAGTTAAAAATATGCAACAGAGAAAGGTCAGAATCATAGGAGGCAGTAATCAAATCAGTATCTTAAAGAATGATCTAATATGAGAAGTATGGGGAATAAGAACAAACTCGCATGCTAGTTAATAAAGCTTGTGATAATTGGCATCAGAGACTTGGGTGTGATGAGAGAACAGCTTACTTAAGGCTAGGCCAGGAAAAGAGGTGTTGTTATAGACGAAAGCTGTACATAGTGAACTTGAAATGTACAGAGACTAGTTCAGAAGGCATAGAAGGAACTGAGGAAAGGCTGTTCTAGAATTGCTTTTGACATAGGAAGAAATAGTTGAATTTGTAAGGCCACTTTGATCATGAAATGGTGACTTGATTGAAGGTAAGCCTTAAAAGGGTGAGGCATCACTAGTTCTGGTTAATCATTAGGGGCTGTACCCCAGGAGGCTCTGCTGCAGGTGCTGTAGTATAAAGCTTATGTAAACTTTATACTGCATAGCCTGCAACACATGTAATGACTATGATTTTTAGCAGTTTACATTCCTAATTACAAGTAGCGGGCTCATGAAACTCCTATGGGGGACCTTCTTGACAATGAAGAGTTTATGTATTGCTTGTCATGGTATTGGCAAGACTCACAGATTTCTGCTGATCAAAAGCATTTTTAATCTAGAAGACACTGCCTACCCATTAGAGAAGAGGAAATACTCTGATACCATCTTGGGATATAAGAGGTGGTGGTGCTGGTAAATGCTATGTGCAATCCTAACATGTATTAGTCCAAATCCCTGAAAAGAAAAATTATTTGCCGGTATGATAAATGTACATGGCATTGCTAATTCAACTTCAGTGAAACTTTTACACACTTTAACAGAAAATTCATTTTTGCAGTAGTGGCACACACATTTCCATTAGGTCTCCTGTAAAATGAGAAAACAACATTTTCTGAACTCTTTCAAACTGAAATAGGTCTGTTTTTTATACAGTTACAGCACAAAAAGAAAAGGTAATAAATAGTTTGTGAATTTCTAATCAACGAACAAACAAGGGGAGAGAATAATTTGATTTACATTTTAGAAGTAAATTTAAAAAGATAGCAACTTAAATTAAGGCCTAGACTCACTGTAATCTATTGAAATCTAAATTAAAATACTT